GGAGAGCAGCGTAGACTCCCCCATGACGCTCGGTCACAGGGTCCCAGATCGTGGCCTGTTGAACCATTTTGTGTTTTCGACCGCACTGAGACTGACGTCTTTTCATTGGTCAGCCGGTTATCGCGGTCGATGCTAATAACAAAAGCGCCCATACCCACTCCTGTGATCGCGGTGTGGGACGATATGCCTGAATGATCCATGGCCTATTCTGATCCCTGTCGTTCAAGCGTGTGAGTTCGAACGTCAGAGGCCTTGTTTTGCCTGGCAATGGTTCCAAGTATTTGTCGAACAGACACGCGACAGTTTCGTGTTCTGAAATTGTCCGTCCAGTGTTGCCGGCTATTTTTTACTTTTTTACACCTCTTGCCCTCACATGTTATTGTGTACGCGCGTGAAGAAGAATCGGCGATGTGGCCGCAATCGCGAAAGTGTCGCCACTGTACAAAAGCTCTTGTAACCCCCGGGATATTCGAATCCACGGCTTCAACCGGCTTTCTGAGTGAGGGGTAGCGAGCTTCACAAGAGCCGTGCACGAGGGATGCATGAGGTCGGGAGGTGCTTGCTCGCGATGACGCTGCTGCTGCCGCTACTGCCGTCCCGTTGTTGCGTGCGAAGGTGGAGAAGGAGGAGAGGTGTGCCATGATGGAGGCCGATCGTGCGGTTAACCTTGTCGAGCACCAGAAGGAGATACACGCACGGCCCGCTCGGCAGTGGATCGTCAGTCAGCAGCGCAAGGTGAGCAGCGCGGCAACCTCCTGAGGTTTGTTTCCCCTGGCACTTTTGGCCTCGTTGTGTTGGTGTTGGTGTGTTTGGTGGCGGTGTTGGTGTGTTTGGAGCTTTTGTTGTAAGGTGTCTAGAGCCGGAGGGCTTGAGGAGCAACACTGTGGGCAACCGCCACCATCTCTCTCTCCGTGTGTCTCTTCCTGCCTCCCTCCCTCTCTCTCTCTGTCTCTCTCCCTCCCTCCCCATCCCACCCTTTCTGTGTTTCTGTTTCTTTCTCTC